ATTAAATATCTATGTTTATTGAATGACTGACTCGAATGCTTGCCATGGCCCAGGACTGGATGCCGCCTCATTTTAATCCTCGGAGCAAGCGTGGTCTTAAGCATTATGCCACGCTGACTGCGACAGGTGACTTCCTGCGTGGCGGCTTATCCGAGGCAGATTGCCTTTAAATCCTTGTGGTGACATTCTGGCCAGCCGTCCAACGCGCGATCCGCATCGAGTGAATCCTTAATAATTATTAATTGATGAGGTGCTTTCGCAGCCTGAATGCTTAAACCACGTGCCCTCTGAATACGGCGCGGGCTGCGGCATATTTTAATTAAATACTGACGACGTTAATTCGACTGCTCCCTCTAATACTCTCGGGCCGAGAGCACCAGGCTAATGGCTTGCTCGTTTCGGAAGATATTAGCAGCAGGGCGCTGCCTTTTACCCAAACATGAGATCATCATAATTAAAACCTGATATTGTTCGAAATGAACTCCTTTAACGTAATTTATATCCCACAAACACACACAGATGCAATATATGTGCCAACGACCTCGAGAATTTACGGCACCTCGGAGAAACTCTGTCCGCTCCTTTCCAAAATGAAACCTCTCTGTCCAGGTGATGAAAGGCTCCTTACTGGGTTCAGGGGAAATGTGTGTTTCCACGGATCAATTTCCGAGTCTCCCCGAAGACAGAGCCACGGCGAAATCCTGGAAACGAATGGCGGTAGGAGCAGAGTGCATTTGGACTTTATTGCGCCAACCAGAGTCTAAACCACTGAAACAGAGACGGAGACAAAGAGAAATCTTATTGTGCGTGTGTGTGTGTGTGTGGGGGTGGGGGGGAACGGAGCAGGACGGAGGAGAGATGATGTCTGAGTAGACAAAGAGATGAAATAATTTGGAGCGAGGGTCCAGAAGGCGAGTATAACACAGTGTGTTAACTCTCTGCTTCAGCTTACACGGAGCACGGATTGTGTCCCCAGGCGTGGGAGACCCCACGGCTGGCGCTTGCCTAGAGCATGACTCTTAACCAGGGGCCATGTGTGGGCTTTAGGGGGAGTAGGATCACCTGGAAATTGTATGTAAATCCTCAGTTTATAGGTAGATATCGGAATGGGCAGAAATAGATGGGCACTTCTTTTATGCTGATAAGGTCTACGGCTTGGGCCACTTTCTCTAAGCCTCCGGGGTCCCCCAAAAGGTGAATCAACTCGAAAGTGGAGTTTGCTTTCTCTAACCTTCCCCTGAAAAGGATGAACCAATGGAAGCCAAAACCCAAACAAGCCAAGGAGCGCAGATATTTCACTTTGTGAAGGTAAAGAAAAATATTTTCTACCAAAACCTTAAAAACAGCACGGCGACTCTGTGAATAATACCGCATTGCATATTTGAACGTTGCTAAGACAGTACAACTTTTTTTTATATGTTTCTTTTTTTTTAATTGATTTCAGAGAGAGGAAGGGAGAGAGGGAAAGAGATAGAAACATCAATGATGAGAGAGAATCATGGATCGGCTGCCTCTTACATGCCCCTCACTGGGAATTGAGCCTACAACCCGGGCATGTGCCCTGACCTCATATCTAACCATGACCTCCTGGTTCACAGGCTGACACTCAACCACTGAACCACACCATCCAGGCTGAGAGTACATCTTAAAACTTCTCATCCTAAGAAAAAAAGTCCTGTCACTCTGGGTGGCTGCAGATGTCATGGTGGCCATTTCCCAATACACACAACTATCAAATCATTAGTTGCACCCCTGAGACTAATAGAATGGTTGTGTGCTACTTACACCTCAATAAAAATAATTTTAAAAATCCAAATTGGAAAAAAAACCTCCAAGAAAGAAAAACCATGCACTCAAAGAGAGAGAGAGAGAGAGAGAGAGAGAGAGACCACCCAAGTTCCCTGACAAGCTCCTGTATCTCTGAGTCGCCCTTTGCAGGGTCATGTCCTTAGCGGTCACTGGAGGAACAGACCCGTCGCTAACCCTCGCTTGACTCTGCTCAGGGTCCTGGGCTGGAGACAGAGAAAGTCCCCGAGGAACTTTCTTGGCGAGTTCTCCTCCCCGCTACCATCTTCTGAGTGTTTCCTATTTGTGAAGCATCATTTCAGGAGCTGTGCCTGCGAGGGGTTATGGCTCACTTATTTTGTAAGAACAGGTATCATAATCAGTCTTCTTACAGATGAGGAGGCTTAGGAAGGTTCCGTAACTTGTTCAAAATCCACAGCTAGCGGTCTCCTGCTACCTCTACCCCTTTCCCTAAAAACAGACAGACACATAAAAACCGACAAATGGCAATACTTCTCAAGGTGAGGCAGATGTCAGGAAATGAAAGCAACTATATAAACTCACCTTTCGTCCTCACGGGACTATAGACGAATTGAATAGTGTTTATGAGCTGTTTGTCTCACAGGGAGCAACAGCAGACCTCATCCTCACGGTTCCAGAAGGACAGGAGGGGAATTGAGGTGGCCCAGGGCTGGGGGCGGGGGAGTGAGGCTGGAGAAGAAAGGGGACTATTAAGGAAGTGGGTTTAAGGGAAGCTACATAATTTTGAAGATCCTGGACCACAAAGCCTGAAAAACAAGATTTTTCTTACCACTTAGACCAGTGGTCAGCAAACTGCGGCTTGGCAAACCGTGGTTCGCGAGCCACATGCAGGTCTTTGGCCCCTTGAGTGTGGCTCTTCCACAAAATACCAGCTCTTCCACAAAATACCGACTTCTTCGCATGGGCCACGAAGTTTCAATCGCACTGTACGTGCACGCCCGCACGTGGTATGCTGTGGAAGAGCCACACTCAAGGGGCCAAAGAGCCGCATGTGGCTCGCGAGCCGCAGTTTGCCGACCACTGACCTAGACTGTGCCAGCACTGTCCACGCTCACTTTTGACGGCCATGGAAAACAATTTATTTAGACATAATTTCAGTCTTACCCTTGCAAGAATAGTACAGATAATTTCTATATATCCTCCATCCAGATTCCACCACTGTTACTATCTCACTGCATCTGCTTTATCTTTCTCTAAATAAACATATCCACCCTATCTTCTTCCTCATGCAGACATAACGATGCTCCTTTATCTTCCAGGGTACATTTCTCCTAAATGAGGATATCCTCTTCCAGAACCACAATACGATGATCGAAATCATAAAGTCACCACCGATAAAATACCATGAACTCACTTACAGCCTGACTCAGATTTCACCGATTGGCCGGGGCTTGTCAGCAACAGGAAAGCCCAGGTCATTCAGTTGTCCCGTTTCTTCTGTCTCTCTGACTTGGGGACTGTTCCCCAGGCCTTCTTTGTCTTTCATGACACATGCTTTGTGGGAAAGTGCAGGTCAGTGGTTTAGTCGAATGTCCGTCCGTTTGAGTTGCCTGATGTCCTGACCAGGTTCAGGTTTTGCATTTTGGGCAGGACTGTCACAGAGGCCGTGCTGCCCTCTCCTCAGGGCATCATTTCAGGAAGTGATGTTGACCTTTGATCTCTTGGTTAGGGTAAGGTCTGCCAGGTTTCTCTGCTTTGAAGTCACCAGTACCTCCCCTCCCTTTTACGTTACTGCATTTAAAATTATATGGTAAAATATATGTAACATAAAATTGACCATTTTAACCAGTGTTAAGTGTCTAGCTCTGTAGCGTCGAGTGCATTCATTGTTGTGCAACCTACACCGCCGTCTGAGGAACTTTTTCATCTTCTGCAACTGAAACTCCATCCCCATTAATCACTAACTCCCCATCTCCCCTCCCCCAGCCCCTGGCAACCACCGTTCTACTTCTGTTTCTGTGAATTTGCCCACGCCTGGTACCTCACATAAGTGGAATCATACAGTAGTGTCCTTTTGTGACTGACTATTTCATTTAACACAGTGGTTCTCAACCTTCCTAATGCCGCGACCCTTTAATACAGTTCCTCATGTTGTGGTGACCCCCAACCATAAAATCATTTTCGTTGCTACTTCATAACTGTAATTTTGCTACTGTTATGAATCGTAATGTAAATATCTGATATGCAGGATGTATTTTCATTGTTACAAATTGGACATAATTAAAGAATAGTGATTAATCACAAAACAATATGTAATTATATATGTGTTTTCCGATGGTCTTAGGCGACCCCTGTGAAAGGGTCGTTCGACCCCCAAAGGGGTCGCGACCCACAGGTTGAGAACCGCTGATTTAACATACCGTCTTCAAGGTTCATCCATATTGTAGCAGGTGTCAACATTCCCTTCCTTTTTAAGGCTGAACTATTCCTTTGTATGTAAACACCACAGGTTGCTTAAGTGTTCATCGGAGGATGGATGCTGGGTTGCTTCTGCCTCTTAGCTATTGTGAGTAAAGCTGCTATGAACACACGTGTGCACATATCTGCTCCAGTTTGTTTTCCCTTCTTTTTGGATCTGTGCCCAGAAGTGAAATCACTAGATCCTTGTTTTTCCCTTCTTAATTAATAAGTTCCTTGGGAGTGATACTGTGAGACTATATAAATATCCTGTTACTCCTCACACGTTCACTCACTAGTTTTAGCATCCCTCGATCCTATCTGAATCAAGTATTACTCCAATGTTGCCAAATGGAAATTTCCTTTGCATCATTCCCTCTACATTGATTGGTTGGCATTCCACCGTGGGAAATAACTTTCCCATATCTCCCACTTATTTATGGGTATGGACTCATTTTATTCATGGGGTTATAGTTCTTTACTCCATGGACACCATTGCTCTGAGCAATACTTTCCCATATAACTCTCAAGAGCGCCAGTTTGGGGAAATGGTGGACTTTCTGTATTTCCTTGTCACCACCAAGAAATCCCAGCGTGCAGCCTTACTTCCGTAAATGGAGATCACTTTCCTGCCCATGTATTCGTGTAGTTAAACTAGAACCCCTTTTTTGGATACTTCTCCGGCACAGACCACCTGAGCAGCCCCGCCCCGCGGAAACTACATTTCCCAGAAGCCTCCGCGCGCTGCGTCATCAGCGAGCGCGGCTTTTCGCTCGCGAAGCCGGCAATGGAGCGGCTGTGGTGACGGCGGCGGCGGTATGGCGGACCCGCTGAGCGTCGGCGTGAACCTGGAGGCCTTCTCCCAGGCCATCAGTGCCATCCAGGCGCTGCGCTCCAGCGTGAGCAGGGTGTTCGACTGCCTGAAGGATGGCATGCGCAACAAGGAGACGCTGGAGGGCCGGGAGAAGGCCTTCATCGCGCACTTCCAGGACAACCTGCACTCGGTCAACCGGGACCTCAAGTAGGTACCGGCCGAGGGGGCCGGGGTCGGGGGTCGGGGGCCCGGCCCGGCCCGGCGCGCACCGTCCCGCCGCGCACCGTCCCGACCCCGCGCGAGTCTCCCTCCTCGGGGACTGCTCCCCGTTTCCGCCTCCACGCCTCTGCCTGCCCCTCGGCCGCACCGCGTCCCCGCCTCCGCGTGCTGGTCTCCCTGCTCTGGGCCTCGGTGTCCTGGCCGCCGCCGCCGCCCGGGCCCCTTCGGGGTCGTGGGGTTCCTCCCGAGGAGACACGCCCCCCATGAACTTCCGCTCGCACTGCAGCGGGGCAGGCCCTCACCCGCAGCCGTCCGTGCCCCGGCGGCCTCACCCACCTGCGGATGGCCCTGCCCCAAGCCCAGGGGGCACCCATCTGGGAGCCCTCATTCCCTCGCCGTGGACCTGGATTCATCGGGCCCCCTGTCCCACCCCCAACAGCACAGACCAGGCCCCACCGCCAAGCCCTTTCCCTTC